AAGGACAACTCAGTTGTAATATTTAATAGTTTGGGTTAAATTGTAGCATGATTCAACAGTGCTAAACTCTGTATACACTCCTGATCAAAATCTTAAGACCAGTCAAAAAAGTGCAAGACAATTCCCTGCTCAAAAGTTCTTGTCTCTTGCTCTGATTTCTTCTTTTAACATTGTGAAGCTCTACTTAGAACCTTCTTAAGATCCAATAGTGCAAAATGCAAATTCTTGCACTTTTTTGACTGGTCTTAAGATTTTGATCGTATAAGCTGGATTCTAGTGGTATTTTAGCTCGATTATGAAACGATTACCAGTTTAAAGATAAAACAGTGTTGATATGTCAGAGTCAAAACCACTGAATTTTATAAAAGAACATTTTTTTAAATAATTGCCAGCAGTCATTAACCAAGCTGCTCATAATAAACTACGTATATCCTCTGCGATCAGTTTTAAAAAGAGATTCTTATTTTGGAAAACCCTGCCGACGCTGCTAAATTTAAAACTAAATTTCAATTCTTGTGATTAAGTTAAAATTTGAGCCTTGGTTTTAAATGTCAGTTTAAATAATGTTATAAATAGACAYGTTGATAAAAAACTGTTTTAAAATCTGTTCACAGTGCAGAAAAAAGCTAACAAACTGATTTTAGGCAGAATAACTGTCAACATGTTCACTTTTTTTCCCATCTCCTCGTTCATATTTGTACAATAAAATGTAAAAAAATGTCTCGATGCAGCTCAATAATCCAGGGAAAAAAATGTAAAAAAATACTTTTAGAGATAAAAAGTTTCAATAAAGAACTCGTCCAGAGGACCTCAACTTTTTTTAAAGAACTAAATACTTTATTAAGTATTGTACTATTGTACTAGTATAATATACTAGATTTATTAGACAACATGTGATATTATTAAAAATTATGTCCACATGTGAAAAAGTTATTTTGTRTAAAATTCAAGTAAAAACAAAAGGATTTTTAGCATACATATTTAAAACCTCAGTGTTCCCCAAGACTCCATCACTGCAGTTGTTTCCATATGAAGGTAATATATTAAAAGGCGACAAAAAGAAAGGAAACGGGAGGAGGCGGAAGACAAATTGAGAGGGTCAGAAGGAGAGATAGAAGGAAGATGAAAGGAAAGATGCTTACATGTTTCTCTCCTTCGATCCTCTTGTCAGCCTGTTGTACAGCCTCCAGGTATTTAAAATACAACTCCATCAGTCGATCAACCTGAGGAGCGAATGAATAAGAGACACACAAAGGTGAGGTGAGAAAGGCAGCGGAGGAGAGAGCAAAGTGAAAATAAGGAAAATGCAGCAGGAAAAGGAGAGACTACAGAAGACAGAGTGAACAATAAAAGCAAATGCAGCCATGGATTCTGACATGTGGACTGTTTAAGGGCACTGAGAAATCTGTTTAGCACATTTTTGTACAATAAATTCTTTCTTTTCTCAACATTTTGGTACACATTATCAAATACTAACGATACGCAGATATGCACTACTGGTCAAAAGGTTTAGAACACCCTCATTTTTACAGTTTTTAATTTGAATGTCAAGCAGCTCAGATCCAAGCTTGAAAGGGTACAAAGGTACTTGGTGAACTGCCAGCAGTTAAAAAAAATGTAAGGTTATTTAAAACTGAAAGTCAATGTGTCTGTGAGTTCAGTTTCCTTCACAATGCACTCAAAAACTGGKGTAAATTCGAACAGGAAGAGGTGTGGCAGACCCACAACATCATCAGATGACAGGTTTCTCAGAGTCCGCAGCAAGAAGCGGCTCACAGCTCTCAGCTTTGAGCTAAGCTTAATGATGGGTTGWGTTGCAGCGAGAAAACCTTCTCTAGACAGCCTGGACCATGAAAAACCACCAATGGACCAGTGAAGACTGGAAGAAGGTGTTTGCGTTGACTGATTAATACAAATTTGTAATCAGCAGTCTTTTGTATGGTTTCTCAGCAGGGTTCCTACAGCTTAAGACAAGCTCAATTTAAGACTTTTAAAGATGTTTTAATGCCACTTCAAATGAAATTTATAACCAACTTCACAATAAACCAATTAAAAAATAAAAATAAAACAGCATCAGGTTTACCCAAATGTTTAAGATAAGATAAGATAAGATAAGATAAGATAAGATAAGATAAGATAAGATAAGATAAGATAAGATAAGATAAGATAAGATAAAACTTTATTGATCCCACCGTGGGGAAATTTGCACATTACTGCAGCTCAATACAGGAGAGGGTGAGAAGAATAAAGATATATAAAAGAAAACAAACATAAACAACCCCACAATATACACATGTGATATATAGTAATGTACATATACCAGTGCACATATACACACATATATAAAGACATATGCATATACATTTATATACATATATACACTGTATAGTACAGTACAAAACAAAAAACAACTAACTGCGAGAAGGATTTGGTAAACTATTTCAAGAAAAATGAAAACGTTACCAATTATTTAAATATTTGAGACAAATTACAATTATCCTAATTACAACGGACCACTGAAAGRTTGATTTAAGACTTTTTAAGGCTTTAGTTTTGGATTGATGGATTTAACGCCTTTTAAGACTTTTTAAAAATCCGTGGGAACCCTGCTCTGTGTGACAACTGCTAAACACAAAGGAAGAAGTGTGATGATGTGGGGCTGTCTTGCTGGATCCAGGGTTGGGTTTGTAAGAGGAAGAATGAGAGTGTTCTAAAACTTTTGACTGGTGGTGAACATTAGATAATTCAATTTCATGAATCACTTTTCACAGGAAAAGAAGCAGGTTCAAGGAGCTACCAACAGATTTATACACATCTGCAGGGCCTCTCATGCAGTTAAAAGTTAATTTTTTATGAGGGCACTTAGATTTAGAGAATAAGTTTTGATTCCAAGAACTGTAAAATACCTCGAAACCAAAACATATTGATAGTGGAATACTAAAACTTTATCAGGAAGGCTGAGCTGTAAATTGATCTGCTTTCTGTCATCCACGTGAAAACAAAAAAAAAAAATCTGAAGGAGGCAGGACATAAGATGAAAAACAGCAGCAAAAAACGAAACAAAAACGACAACTAACCTTCTCGCAGTCGTTTTCTGTGAACTTGTTCTGGAGTCTGGTTCTCTGCTGGGACTTGAGGTTTCTCAGCATGGAGGCGATGACGGAGCAGACGTGTTCTGAGGAGACGTTACAGCTATCAAAACAAGCCTACAAACTCTTACATCTTCAGATTTAGATTTTCATCAATTCAACGAAATAATTGCATCTCGCACGGACAAAAACCTGCGGGTCATGGGTTGGTTAATCATAACGCACAGGTGTGCTATGATTAACCAACCCATGACCCACAGGTTTTGATTCACAACAGAACTCATAAAACAAAACAAAAAAATCTGATTAAGTACTTGATCATTTGCAATTAGCTGCACACACAAGAGCCGACATCCTTGCAGAGAGAGTGCAGCTCAAGAGGAGAAGAAAATGTAAATGAATTTAAGAAATCAATGTAACTTTTGGGTGCATGCTGGAACGTGTGCAACAGTTCTGGATGTGGCGGAATTACATTTCTAACAGAGAGAGGAATTTGCCTGTGGCGGCTTCAGGGTCATTTAGCTGACAGAAGATCTGAAGACAAGGTAATTGWCTAAATGAGTGTTGCTAACAATGAGGGTCCTTTTTAAACCAATTCATGCAACACGAGATGGATCTTATTCACRCATCCTCTTCGTCACGCACTGTAAGAGCGACAGGGGACAATCACATCTTTCTCTAAGACATTGGATGAGAAATACACTGTACACACGAGGACAGAATGTGACATTGTAAAATCTCAGGATATACAGAGCGAAAGCAGAAAAATGTAATTGGACTTATCAACAAGAGGTCAATATTCTCTCTCAATGAGGCTTTGCAGTTGCTAAGCAACAAGAGTGCAGGAATCAATCCCGTTTCAGCGTTTTAAAAGGGGTCTTGTTTGCTGTCAGCTTCCTTTGTGCAATCCCCTCATGACCGCCAGCGTCTTTATTCACAAGACACGAGAGCTGAGGAAACTGAGGACTGTAACACCTGCCAGTGTCTGTTTTTCTGTTKTTTTTTTTTCCTTTCTTCAGGACATACAGACGACCATCAAGAGGAACACTGCGAGCAGGAAAAAGAGCAAAATAGGCAGTGAAATAATTTGGCAGAGGAGAACGTTCCACCAAAAGATGTAACAAATTTCCAACGCTAATTACACATTCATCATTCACGTTCAGCTTATTCAAATAACTGAAGATCTGAAACATTTTTACCTCAGTTTAATTTTTATTGACTGAGTTCTAAAATATTTAAAGCCAAAGCAAATGTTTTGCATATTTTGTTTTTCTCAATGTCAAATTATTGATAAATACAGTATGTAAAACCAGGAGGCACAATCCTTTTTAATCATTATGGTTTATTTTGAACTGCAAAACATATTTGTAAATCTTTAAACATTTAGAACGTATCTTTTTTTCCTCTAATGGAGGTTCTCTTAGGAGTTTTTTCAGTGACAAGATAAGGAAATTTAAGATAAGGTTTGAATTAAAGTTGTGCTTTTAGAGGTAAACATAGTGTGAATGCAAGAATCTCCATCTTAAGTACGCAAAACTAACGACAACTCTGACCTTTTTATTTTTATAATTTAGGAATTCTTTGTGCAAACTTTATGCAACAATTTCAGTGTTTGAAACACACCTTAATTTTTGTACTGCACCTTTTCCACAGTATTTTTTTTATATACATATGTTTGACTACTTTAAGAAAATTTAGAAAGTCTCATTCAGACTGATGCCATGGACCAAAAGAAGCAAGATGCCCTGATGTGAACAAACAACCRAACCATCTGCCAGAACACTCCTGGAAACTCACACAAATCTGAAAATTCAGAAGAACAGATAATGTTTGAGGCTCTTTTTGCTTGACACTAAGTGACAAGCTCATTAACAAMGGTTATAAAACATGAAACCTGGTTGAATATCAAGCAGGTATAGTCAAAGTGTCCCCTTACTTTAAATGTAGACAAACTTATTCCCCGTGCGGAGAGACAGGAAGCCTAACTGCCATTTCCGAAAGAACACTACTTTATCAACTTGATCCAACTGGTAATTGATGTCACCACCTCCGAGCCCTGCCCAGGGGGCTATTGATCCCCGGCTGTGGAGCGTTTTCTCCAAAGGGCTTAAAACTAAACAGAGACCGCTCCTTTGAGATTTGTGAAAAGGTGGAAGCAGGATTGCATTGTGGGTACCAGAAAGAGGGCAAGGTTAAATAAAACAGCTTCCTCGCCTATTTGTCTTGGGCAGACATGCAATCAATACATGTGTTTAAAATGCTGCTTCAGATTTGAATATTGGACAAAAATACAGAAATAAAAAAGGTCTACTTTTTTATTTTTGGGGGAAAAATAAAACTTTTACTTTGAAATTGTGTGATTGCCAAGAAAATAATGAAATTATTGATGGCTATGGATTTAAAAAAAACACCTTAAAATACATTACTGAATACACAAAACTAGAAATCTATTAGCATCATATTTTAGTTTTAATGTTAAGATCATTTCTTTATTAGGTGGACATCTGCATAAAATAAAATAATCAATAAATAGATGCACAATAAAAGTTATGTTCAATAGTTTTCTTGTTGCTTTTTCAGAGTCTGTGTATTTTCTGCATCGATTCAAGACTAAAACACAAGAATTTGCCAACAGTGCAGGAAGCAAATCAAGTCACCTTTTATACAAAATAATCTCACTTTTAAAATATTAGATTTAAAGTGAAATTATGAAAGAGCAATATCCAAAAACCAGTGGAGTTTACAATTACCTCTTGAATCAGTCAAATCAAACAGCACCAAACAGCTTTGATTAAATATGTATTGTGCTTGAATCATGCCTCTTATCCACCATTCAGATAGTCATCAAACAGAGAAATGAACACCCCTGTTCAGGATTTCTGCTAGGATCTTTCAATCTACACTTTTTTTGCTCAAAATAAGAACATGCATAAAAATAACTTCATAAATTCACAACTGGTGACAGATTGTCATTGGATTTTGCACGTGTCAAAATATATGTAAGAAATCCTTCCATCACTTTGAACTACTTCACAGGAGTAAAGAAAGTCTTCAGATCTTCTCAGAATTACTTTTTTAAAGTAATCGTAAATATTTCAAYGCTTGTTTCATTTATCCTTTATTAATCTTTCACCATTTGCTTCATCTGTGCTGCAGGAGATTTAAAGCACCAAGTTAACACTGCAAATAACCGTGAGATAGGCCTGGATTTATCCCCTAATTGGAGGCTGAAAGCAGTCTAGTTTAGACCTGAACAACAGAGGAGCAGACAGGTGGTACTAATTTGGCCTGAATGTGCTGTGCCCTGGGGAAAGCAATCAGCCTCTCAGCACTACAGGTTGGTTATCCAGAAGTTAAGAGCGTCTGTGTTCTCTGCGTAAAGAAGCAAGACTAGTCTACATTGGTGGTTGAGCTAGGGTTGGGCAATATTGGCAAAAAAATTAATCATGATTAATTGTGGTATTTAGCTGATAACGATTAATTTGAYGATTAATCCCCTGGAGTCCCTGGACACCCTTATGTCCTGGTCTCATGACCAATTTAGTGGGAAAGATTTGCTCTTCATTCAAATCTGTTCCAAGTTGTGTCAGAATTACAGACTTCAGGCTATACATCAAATTTTAATTTGTGTTGATAGATAAATAAATTACACAAYTTTTTTTTAAATGCTCGTCATATTTGAAGCAGAGAGGAGCACCAATCAGTCTGCCAGGCAGCATTAATCGCATTAATCGTCAAGTGCCAAAARATAATCGATTAATGTTTTTCTGACGATTACTTGCACACGATACGATTATGCCCAACCCTAGGTTGAGCCATGGCAGTTAGTGCCAAACCTTGGAAAAAAACAACAACAAATGTCAGGGTTTCCCTACTGGGCTTAAGCAGCAGAAAATGAAYGCAAGGATGGATGCATTCCCTTATAAATCATGCACACTTAATAAAAAAAAAACTTGCATAAACTACAAATAACCCATGAGTCTCTCTTCTCTTCTCTCTCGGACATTACGTCAGAAATGACGACGAATACTGGTGGTGATGACTAGCATGGATTTGGTCAGTAAGACTAGCCGCCAATGCGAAGGACCTTGAGCAGATGTTACATTTGTATGGCACATCGTCTACATCTGGGTTTTTATGCCAGAGACGGGCTTGTTGGATACTATGTGCCCGGTTGGTCTCAAAAAGCTCAACTCCCTTTCATCTCGCCTCTCTAAAATGGGTGGTTTTGCACTTGTAACTGAAAATTTTCAGCAGCAATGCCACACTTCTTGAGGGAGTCTTTTAGGTAGTCCTTGAACTGCTTCCTGGTCCTTCCAACTCAGCGTTCACCGTAGGTGAGCTCACCAGAGAAARGCTGTTTGGGCATCCTAAGATCACTCATGCGCACAAGATGGTCTGATCATTGTAGTTGTTTTCTAATGATCGTGCTTTCCACCGACTGGCATTTAAATCTCTGTATACTTCAAGGTTTGATACTTTTTCCTCCCAGGAAATGTTGAACAGCTTCCYGAGACAGTGTTGCTGAACGGCCTCGAGTTGTTGAATGTGGCAGCGGTATGTTGTCCAGCACTCCACTCCATAGAGGAGGGTACTTAAGACAACGGCGTGGTATACAGCAACTTTTGTGACAGAAGTTATGATCTGGCTTTTCCATTCCCTATCTTGCAAGCTTCTGAAAGATGCACTGGCTTTTGCGATGCGGTTTTGAATCACTTTATCCAGCTGCCCATTGTTCGGCAGGATGCTCCCTAGATGCACAAAGGCGTCCGTGTTCTTCGGATACTTGCCATCAAAAGATACCACTGAATTGATGTATTGTGTATCACGTCGGGGCTTGTGAAGTATAACAGTTTACTTGGTACTAACGCAAAGGCCAAACTGCTTCAAGGCATCAGAGAAGCTGTTTACCAAGAGCTGCAGACCTTCCTAGCTTTGCGAGAAAATGACAGTCAAACTACAAATAACCCATGAGTAAGGCTGAGCTAATAAACTTGTCCTACCACTAAGGGAAATGTTGCTTAAAAGTGCTCTCCCTGTACCTTCCTGAGTAGAATATGAAGTGTTTTTTTTATTTAGACATACGTATGCCACGTCATATTTTATTAAAGTTTATAGAGATTAAATATAATCAATCCTCACAGGGGGGTAAAGTATAAGCTTGAACAAAAAGGCAATTAGATGCATCTTTGCACAAAGATCTAACAACAAATATTGCCTTCTAAAGTACACTAATACCAGGATTACACAGCACGACTGTTTAAACAAAGATCACGTCAAAGTTTGTAGCATCTAAAATGTTACTAAGTTCAATCTGTATCAAAGATGTTCAGAGCTGGGACGAAAATTTACACAAAAAGATGCATCTGGTTGCCTAATTTTGATAGAATTTTGTAAGGAGATGGATTTGTAGGAGATTCACTGCTGGAGATACACAYCAGCTCCCAATAAAAATTGCAAACCCCATTTGGAAAAGCAGGGAAATAAACTGGATGGAATGGTGTCAAACATTCAGTGGTGCATTGAAACTTTCAAAACTTATTTGTTAAAAAGGGAAGACAATAAAATAAACATATCAGCCAAAAAAAGCACATGGTTTAAATTTGCTATTAAACTGCAGCGATTTCTGTTTGTTTATTTGTAAGAGAAGCACGATTTGCTTTAATAAGGACATTCAACAAAGCAGTAGAAGCATACAATGTGACATTTTTTCTAATACAGGTCTCTTTACGCCTGTATGCCTTACTCATTACTTGTTTTAGTGCATTCATTAGAGAAATAAGGGTCACGATTTGAACATATGCAGCACTGGAAGACATTTGTGTGGCATTCAAATTATATTAAGTACAAAGGCCTTAGTTGCATCTCTGCTTTTTTGTGTGTTCACTCTGAACTAACACATTATACAAACATGCATGCACATAAACACGAAGGGGGCAAACAAAGAATCACTTTTCCGAGCCAGACTTGGGAGATGCAGCTAGGACTATTGTGCCGCGCCATGTAAATTAGTTGTTTACTTCTGTTCCCTCTAACACTTGCTCGCATCATTAGCCACCTAAATATTACAACCGGCTGGCACCAATTTCCATCACACAATCTCATTTCTGTGGTAATGACAAAGTACGTACACCAATAAACCGAGACCCCAAAACAAGAGGCAGAGTTGTGACAAGAATACTCACGAGCAGAGAAATGTAATTTGTTGTTCGGATTGTTTTTACCCTTTCTTTTTCTTATTTTCCTTTTGCTTTCTGTTCTATTAATTATGCCCTTCTTTTTGTTAATCTGTCTGGGTAATCTGTAGTCATTTGGGCTGTGTCAGTTTCAGAAAGAATTTTTTTGGGGATCAATCTTTGCACTGAGGTTTAATTGTCAGGATTAAGTGAATGAACATAAAAAAGAAAGGACAACAGAGGGAAGGTCAGAAAGGTCCCTACTTCCTAATTAGTTTTGTTTGAAGCATATGATTGTTAATTAATCTTCAGAGTTCTTGTGTTATTCAGAAGAACCACTTGAATGATGTTTTTTTCAATTAGTCTTCTTACAGCAAGGGATAGCTCACTAAATAAGACATATTTATATACAGGATGGACAAATAAGTAGCCATACTATAGAAAATTCTACACAGGATACAATTTTAAACACACTAAATARAAAACTAGCAATCATTAAAAGGATTTTGCCTGTTGCATTTCATGCTAGATTTTTTTTTTCCGTGTCACTTCAGTACAGTTCCTAACAATTTGATGGCTTCCTCTAGTTCGTGATACRTTCAATTTCTTTTTCTTTTTATTTGTTGAGTATGATATTATCTTACTCATGAGATTTTTTTAGACRTGTTAATTACCTGACATGTCGCACATTTGGACAAGTTAGTTCAAGTTGCCCAGCAGAGCACGCTAAATTGCCACATTTTTTAAAGTCTTTTTTTTTCCCGCACTGCCCTGCAAGCTGTTTTAATACAGGACAGCAGCGCAGGAAGCTTTCACTGCAAGGAAGGGTTATCTTGCACACTTTTCCTTTAGCTGCTTAAAAGGTTCAAAGGTTAATTTATCAAGTCTCTGGGCGATAAGCGGAACACAATGGCAGACAATTTGTTCTCCTCTGCAGCGCTGAAAAACCTCATCACACTCATGAAACTTAATTAACAGACAGAAACAGGGAGGTGTTTCAAATGTTGAACCAAAGCCAACAAACAGTAATCAAAGAAATGGAAAAAGATTCTGTTTTTCATCTGTTTTTCCCCCTCCCCCGTGTTATTTCATTTTCCAGTTTATGACATGGACCTACGTCTCTGTTCTCCTGTCTTTCCATCTTCGACTCTTGTTTGCTCTTTCCATCTCTCACTCAGAGACAAGAGAGGTTAGAGAGCACGGACAGGAAAATCAATCAAGATTGGATTGATAGTGTAAACTGACAGTCTGAAGRGGCAGCAAACTGATACATGAGCAGAGCAGGACTGAGTGTTTCTGCAGAAAACAGGGTGTGACCACACAGTGTGGAAAAATACAAGCAGAAAAAACATTTTGAATAACTTATCTATTCTGTTATTTAAATGAATATTTTCTATTCATAAAATATTGAAGGTCCTGCAAAGTGTGAAGAAATTAGAGACGGCTCAAAACTTTTGCTCAGTACTTTATATATCATAAAATATAGAGATGATAGATTTAAGAACCATTACTGTTTTGCCCTGCGAGTCATACCATTTGAAGGGGTCAAACCTTCGCGGCTGACTGCAGCCCTTGTAAAAAAAATCGTATTACTTTTGCCTCGTGCTGTAATTACTGACTGACCTTCGTGTTCTTTCTCTGAAGTGCCGGTTTTCTTCATCTTTTTGGGGGTTTTCATGAAAAGTGGAAAGATGGTCCGCAAGCCCAGAATGTCCACAAATTTATGGCAGTTATCTGCTCCCTCTGGTCCAATCATTGCATGGTCCAGGACTTTCAGAGCACTGGTGCGAGACATTTTCTTCTCTCTACAGGGAGGGCAAAAAAAAAAAAAGATCAACATACAGTATATCAAGAACTGCACTTTTAAAGCCAACCCAGAAAAGGGTTAACTGTGGCTAAGTCAGCTGGAATACATCTCAAAAGTTTTGTTGAACTGGTAATAAAACTATTATTTTATATATCTAACTTTAGAAAAAAAACTTTCGTAAACTTTCATTTTTTTTTATAACAAAACAACTTGTATTTATTGTCATCAACAACAATTTGTTGGAGAAATATGTAATGGTATAATGTACAAATTGCTGCTCAAACCTTTTTAAAAGGTAAAAAATGTTTTTTTTTCTTTTTTGTATGTTTTTTGTTTTTGTAATTTGAAGATTTTTGATTGAATTTATTTATTTGAGAAAAAGGGGCAGATATAAGATTTTTTCTTCTTCTGCTACCTTTTATTTAATTTATGATTTGTATTTTTATTATATATTGAATTTGTTGTTTTTAAAAAAATGAGTAAAACTTAATAAAAGTAATAACAATGACTCAACCAATCACAATCCTGCCAACCTGTTCTCTGTCAAAAATATTTTTACTCACAAAGCAGCTCAAATATTAAAGACAGACAAAAAATACAAAATATTTATCAATGTACTCACCATATTTTTGTCACAGGTAAACATTTTGAACCATAATTTAAACACTTTTTCATCTTATTAGGTTTAGGAAGCACTTTATGATGTTCCTTAGTCATTTGTTTCTCTAGAGGGTTTAATACTTTATAATATGATTTTAATATCTGACAAACAAATGTTCTGCAAGACAAATATTCGCCTGTTTCTTATCAAAGAATTCTCATAATATGGGAATTCAACCTTTTCTTCCCGTGTTTATATTCCCCCCTCTAGCATAGACCTTCTGTTAGGAAATGTAGCTGTCTGTCTGAGTGTCATTTCCTTCATTTCCACCAATGACAGACGACAGTGTTTATCTCAGAGGAGGGACACATATTTCAGGCAGTTGTGTCTGCTTCCGCAGACAGACACATTGTATTTGATGGACGGCTGGGGAGGACAAGTAGGAGTGATATGCAGTGTACTTTCCAAAGGGAAACGAAGGCAATTTGGTCTGCAGACAGCAAACGTAACTCAACATCTTGGTCTTGGGAACTAACCCGTGAAGTGAACGGAGGGTCACGTTTGATGGATCCCAACAAGACAACGCAAGTAGGTTTGTTTTAGAGTCCATTCAAGATCAGTGGTTTCCATGTTGTCTTATAACATCAAGTTTGTGGTCTTGAGATGATGGAAAAAAATTGGATTAAGAAAGAATAGGATTTAGAAAAAGAAAGCAAGCAGAATATATATATA